CTCAAGTTTGAGCATTTTCAAGCCTATTTCATTCAATATTCATTTTTGCTTTCAAGAACACTTATTGTACTCAATTATATTATTCTCGAGTGTTATTTCTTTATTCTAGAAATGTGCAAACATCTTGCCTTATGAGGATTTTCTTGTAAGTTTGCAAAATTTGTATTGTTCTCTTTGGGAGAGAGTGTTCTCAAGAATTTGGGGTATAATTCTTGAGGGATTTGTAAGGTTACTCTTTGTCCTCAAAAGAAAGAAAAATTAGTGAATTTGTGGAAAATCCTTAGTGTGGATAGCTAAGGTAGTGGACGTAGACTTTGGTTGAGAAAGTCAAACCACTCTAAATTGTTGTGCAATTACTTTCAATTTTCTGCAAAAGCTTCCACCAAATTTTTAATTGCCAATTCACCCCCTCTTGGCCGATTCCATCAATCGATTAACTCAACAGAATTTTTTAGATACTTCAAAAGGTCTCGAGCACTTGGATTTCAACCTCCCAAGGAATAGTTTCAATCTCGAATTGAACTACAATACTTGTTGACCATCATGGAATTGTTTTGGCATTATGTGCTTGTCATGCCATCCATTGCTTTTGTCTTTCTAGATCTTCGCATTATCATAAACATTATTGTGAATTTCTTCCATTTCATTTATTTCAAGTAATATGGTTTGTCCCATAACATTAAGGTCAAAATTCAGCTTCTTAAGTGCCCACATTGCATGTGCTTCAACTCTACTAGCAAATGACATGTTTTCCCATAGACTAAATGAAATGAAGACATACCCAATGGAGTTTTATATGTTATATGATATGTCCACAATGCTTCATCCAACTAAAAAGACCAATCCTTCCTTGATGGGTTCACAACCTTCTCTAAAATTTGCTTGATTTCACGTTTTAAGCCCTTGACTTGCTCGTTAGACTGAGGCTGGTATATTGTAGTGATGTGATGCTTCACTCCATACCACAACAAACATTATCAGTCTGGTTACATTTAAAATGGGATCTCTCATTACTAATAAAATCTCTCGATGTTCCAATATGGGTAAAAATGTTATTGTGAAGGAACTTTAAAACTGATTTAGCATCATTTGTAGGTAATGCTACAGATTCAACCCAATTGGAGACATAGCCCATAAGAACAAGAATATAGAGATTACCAAATGATGATGGGTAGGATCCCATGAAGTCTAATCCCTAAATGTTAAACAACTTGATTTCCAATATGGGTTGCATTAACATTTCTTTACAGTAAGAAATGTTGTACTACACTGATAATGATCAAAACGCTTGATGAATTCATTAGCATCTTTAAATAGAACTGGCCAAAAGAAGCCGCATTGAATGAATTTGGAAGCAGTGTGCATCCCTCCAAAGTGAGCACCATAAGGCTTATTATGACAGTGATGTTAGATGATGTGTGTCTCATTGTCTAGAATACATCATCTCACGATTTGATCATTGCATTTTTTGAACAAATAAGGCTCATCCTAGTGATATAACTTAACATCCCTAAAATATTTCTTTCTTCCCTGATGGTTGAGGTCTGATGGTACCAATCCACTCACCAAGTAATTCACAATATCTACATACAAAGGAAAATCTTTGAAAACAATAAGTATTTCATCCAGAAAATGGTCAGGAATCAACAGTTTACTCTTATCATCACCCCTAGGTTCCAAACGATAAAAGTGATTAGCCACTTGATTTTTAAAGCTCTTTTTACCTTTAATCTTAATGTAAAACTCTTAAATTAGTAACACCCATCACATCAATATCGGTTTGGTGTTTTTCTTTGCCAGCAAGTGTTTCAATGTTGAATGGTTTGTATAGACAATCACTTTTGTTCCCACAAGATAAGATCTAAATTTATCAAAAGAAAAGACTACATTAAGCAGCTCTGTTTTAGTTTTTTAATAATTTATCTCTGCATCATTCAAGGTTCTATTAGCATATTGAATAACATGGAACATATGTTGTTTTCTTTGTCCCAGCACTACACCAACAATATGATCACTTGTGTCTCACATCAGCTCATAAGGAAATTTCCAATTATGTGTGACAATAATGTGAGAATTCACTAATTTCAACTTAATACATTCAAAGGAAGTAAGTGCTTCAGTATCAAAGATGAATTTTATGTGTTGCTCTAATAATGGGAAACATGGTCTAGCAATCTTTAAGAAAACCTCGATGAATCTTGTATAGAAACAAGTGTGGCCTGGAAAACTTCTTATTTTCGTAAATTTGGTGCTAGGTGGTAACTTTTCAATGATTTCAACCTTAGCTTTTTCCACCTCAATCCCATGATGTGATATGTGATGTTCCAACACTATGCCTTCAGTCACAATAAAGTGGCATTTCTCCCAATTAAAAACAAGATTGGTTTCTTCACATTGCTTTAGAACAGTTGCTAGGTTGTCAAGGAACTGGTCAATTATTTGGCCAAAGATGGAAAAGTCATCTACGAATATCTCAAGGAAGTCTTCAACCATGTCAAAAAATATGCACATCATACAGTGTTGAAACGTTGCTAGAGCATGACACATACCAAAAGGTATCATCCTAAAAGTGGATGTTCCATAACGACATGTAAATGTAGTATTCTTTTGGTCTTATTGTACAATTTCTATCAAATTTTAGCCACTATATCCATCAAGAAAGCAACGTAATGCTTTTCCAGCAAGTTTATCCAATATCTAGTCAGTGAACAACCATGGAAAATGATCTTTCCTTGTGGCTTTGTTTAACTTCTTATAATCCATGTAGATGTGCCACCTAGTAGTGGTGCAAGTGGGAACTAAATCATTATTTTCATTTGAAACAATGATGATGCCACCCTTGTTTGGTACACATTGAACTGGACTCGCCCAATTGGTTTCTGAAATGGGAAAGATGATTTCAGCATCTAACCACTTAATGATTTCTTTTTTGATAACCTCTTTCATAACTGGGTTGATTATCCTTCGTTGCTCAATAGAATTGTTGTTTGGATCCTCTAACAATATCTTGTGCATGAAAAAAGTGAGGCTAATTCCATTGATATCAGCAATGCTTCAGCCAATAGCCCTCTTATCTTGCTTCAGAAGATTGAGCAATTTTGCCTCATGTGATACTTCAAGCTTTGTTGCAACAATAACTGGTAAAGTCTCATTTTCTTTAAGAAAAACATACTTTTAAATGATCGGGCAGAGGCTTTAACTCAAAACTGGGGGTTCTTCGATATATAGATGAAGAACCTTAATTAGTCTCATTGAAAAGTCCAATGACTCAACATGTTGAGCATAACTTCATTCACCATCGATAATCTCCTCACCCTCGTATTCCTCTATTGTCACAACATTACACTCGTCTATATCAATGTTATGGCATTAATCCAAATGTTCCTGCACAATAACATCAATAATGTCAATAGAGTGGCAATCAGTATTATCAAAATCATGTGTAGCATTATTCAAAACATTAAAAGTAATGTGCACTTCATTAAGACACATTGTAAGTTCTCAATTTTCCACGTCAATCAAAGTTCTACTTATAGTAAGGCATAGTTTTCCTAATATGTTTAGTACTTCTTTTTCATCTTCGTAGTCTAGAACAATGAAATCTATGGGAAAAATGAATTTATCCACTTGAATTAACAAATTATCTATTGGTCCCTCAGGGTGATCAATGAATCAATCAGCAAGTTGAAGTGTCATAGCTGTAGGTCTTGTTTCTTCAATGCCAAATTTCCTGAAAATATACAAAGGCATTTGGTGAATATTGACACCTAAATCACACAATGCTCTAACTACAAATCGATCACCAATAACACTAGGGATAGTAAAACTCATTGGTTCCTTTATTTTTGGTGGCAACCTACTCGTAGCCATGGCGTTACACCCTTTAGTAAGTGCAATAGTTTCGAACTCTCCAAGTCTTCTTTTCTCTGAAAGTACCTCCTTAATGAACTTTATGTAATTCATATTTTTCTTTAATTCACCAATCAATGAAATGTTGATTGTCACTTGTCTTAGAACATTAATAAAGTTTCCGAATTGTCAATATTCCTTGGACTTCTTGAATTATTGAGGAATTAGAGGTAGAGGTCTTTGATTTTGTTGCACTGGCAATGCTAGTGGCATCATATGAAGTGTTGTCGACATTGCTGGAGGCATTATCCCATTAATTAATACTCTTTCCTACATTTTTTTTCCTGTGACATCCACTATTAGTGTCTCAATTTCCACTTCCAGCTCATTGCCTTTAGATTTTTTTCATGCCTCTTATCTATCTCCTTGTTTTCATCATTTGATTTTCCAAGATAGAGTCCACTACATGTTGTGATGGCTTTGCAATGCTCATTGTAATGGCATTTCCCTTGAGCTCTTAAAACTTCAGTATCACTCGGCAATGATCCTTGTGTCCTATTGCTAAGTGCATTAGTTAATTGTCCAACTTGATTAACCATTGCTCTTAGTGATGTTGACTGGCTTTGGATCACATCTTCATTTCTCAAGATGTACTCCTTCAGTAGAGACTCAAACAACTTTGATGTTAAAGGTAAGGCTTGGTTAGAATATTTCCCTTGAAAATTTTGCTAAATATTGCGTTGTTATTGGGGCATTGCCTGATGATGTGACTGATGTTAGGGCAATGGTTTTTCTAAGTATACTTTTGCTGTGAATAATGTTGTTGTGTATTCCCAAAATTTGATTTTAATGAAGTATTAGGGTTAGTTACATTCTGACTTGTCTAAGAGAAGTGAGAATGATTTTGGAAGTTTGGGTTGTTGTATATGTTCCCATAAGCATTGAAATTGTCATTCCTGCAGTAACGCGTCTACTCGACATAATCCTTGTACTGGGGTATTGGTAGTCATTCTTGAAAATCCTCTCCAAGATATCATAAGCTTCGTTATATGCTTTTTTTTAGAAATGCCCCATTGGTAAAAGCATCTATAACCATCATTGTCTGTATTTTAAGTTCATTGTAGAATATCTCCATATGTATCCAATGCTAGAAACCATGCATAGGACATTTCTGTAGTAAGTCTTTAAACCTTTCACATGCTTCATACAAGTTCTCATCCTCTATTTTCTTGAAACATGTGATGTTTATCCTCAATCTATCATTCATGTTAGGAGGGTTTAATCATAACAAGAACTTTTGGGCAAGTCCATTCCATGATGCTATAACACTAAGTGGCAGCGAATTCAGGCACGCCTTTGTTGGGACCGTCGGTGCACCCCATAGCACAGTGGAAACAAATTCAATGGTCTCACCAGTGATCTATGTACGATAAAATAAAAATTGAGAGGAAGATATATGATTTCTTGCCTTGGGTTCCTAGAATAGAAGCAATACAGTAACGACTCATGATCTCAGGAACAATTCGAGTCCTAGCCTCCACAAAAAAGTCATCTCGACCTCTACTAAGTTCACCCAATTGAAAAGCAGTTGAGAGCAATTTCTTTCTCAAAACAGTTTTAAGGAATTATAAAATTTTAGAAGTGAAGACACCTGTTAGACCAACATATCCCTTTTATAAGTGACACCCTAGCTATTAGGGTTTTAATATGAATTTAATAAGGAATATAATTACCTTAATTATATTATTTTTTAATTAAATTTGGTATTTAATCTGTAATTAAAATTATATGCGTATATATATTACTATTTACACATTTTATTCATGTTCAAGAAAATTGTACATATGTAACCCATTTATAAATTGCTCCTTTCAACCATTGGGTGTGACCTTGTAGGTTCTTGTAATGTTAGTAGTAGTAATTAGAACCATTCTAATATTACAAACAATGAGTTACATCTAGCAATATATCATTGTTACCTAAGTTACAAGAAGTCATGATTCGACATAACATATTCATGACTAACTCTTTTAATGTATTATATTCTTTTGTCCTTTATATGTATAATAGGCACAAGTCTTCGAAAAGCCAGCTAGTATAGCCATCTATTATTTCTTGATATCTAGAGTAGACTATGATAAACGAATAATTTGTGATATCTCATATCAACTTATTCGAGCATTGCCATGCATTTCTAGTCTCGCTCAATCAAGTGGCTTGTGATATATTTCCTATTATGTAGGAAGGACAAACAATGAGTTACATCTAGCATATATCATTGTTACCTAAGTTACAAGAAGTCATGATTCGACATAACATATTCATGACTAACTCTTTTAATGTATTATATTCTTTTGTCCTTTATATGTATAATAGGCACAAGTCTTCGAAAAGCCATGCTAGTATAGCCCATCTATTATTTCTTGATATCTAGAGTAGACTATGATAAACGAATAATTTGTGATATCTCATATCAACTTATTCGAGCATTGCCATGCATTTCTAGTCTCGCTCAATCAAGTGGCTTGTGATATATTTCCTATTATGTAGGAAGGACAAATCATATCTCGATCATCTGTTTCCCACTACATATATCATGATATGTTCAATGTCAGTGTTTATAGTGCAACCAGTTACAGAATATGTTTAATTGTATCGAAACATACAACAATATATATTGAGATAGTACACATCTCATGTCTAAGGATCATACATATAGTTGTCACCATGATCAATATTGTGACTGTCACAATGATCAATATTGTGACTGTCACATAATAATCCAATACATATGCTCATAGTGAGTCAATTTAATACTTTTCTCTAACAACATATTCATGTATCAATTTTGACATCTCTATGTCAATGACAAATCATTGTCATCAATCAATAACATTTAGTCTTAAGCATATTATTATTGTCCATGCCCATAATAATACTTGAGTAAGGATCATTTAATAATAATCATATTATTATATGGATATTATTATCTTTTAGTTTATTTAATGCACATAAATATAACAAAAGAAAATAATGGTAATGTCTTTATTCAATAAAAGAGGTAAAGAAAATATGTCAATACAATCATCATATGATTAGTCTTTAGGCATACTCTAAAAACCTTGGCTTTGTTTTGAAGTAAGTAATTGAACAATTTCAGCTTCAAGGGTTCAAGGGTTCTTCGGGTACTCTTTGTTATACAAATGAATCACACACTTCCATAAATTCTCGCAAGTGTGCTCTAGGGTCCTCGTTGTGCATTCCACTATAATGCCCTATTGATTGTAGTATTTGGAACATTTTCGGCATCAACTCAAAGTGGGCAGCATGTATATCTGGATGAACAATGCCAGGATTTAATTCATCAAAAATGAGCACAACATGCTCTAGGATTGGCATATTTAAGTCATCAGTTTTGTGGTAAACTGGCTGCATCGGTTCATTGTGCAAGGATGGAATCCCCTCGTTATTTTGCCCATTGTTGTTTGGGCGATTTTGATTATCCTCAATTGCCAATGGTAGTTCACCATCATTGCCCACAACATTCTAATTCATGTTTGGATGATGTTGATTTTGTTGTCTCCTTCGGTGAAAAGTTCTTTCTATCTCTAAATCAAAATATAATAAGTTTTGATTGTTGCGGTGGTTCAAGCACCAGTAATGCCCCTACTAAATCTACCTACAAAAAATAAAAGCAAAGTTATTATGTAAAAAACAACTATAAAAGTAATGACACTAATCCCCTGTAACAACGCAAAACACTTGATGCTTCGAATAATATAACAACAAACAGTGCAAGCATACACTATCATTTATCAAGTAGTAAAAGTGGAATCAGTAAGTTCGTCAAGTATCGTATCCACAGAGAATAGCATTACTTTGTAGAATTGTTATGCATCAAATGCAAAATTGTGTATTGTTGATGCAAGAAGCAACGTTGTTGTAATGTAATAGAAAATATGAAATGTCATAAACCTGGTCTAAAAGGAAGCTGGATTGGGAATGTTATCAAAAAATTTAAACCAAAATGAAACAATAAAAAATAGATAATATAAAATTTTCAATCATCGAAACAAAATCAAGCATCAAAATTCTAATCGAAATAATCACGAAATGGAATAAAAACAAATTGAAAACCAGATTTGATGAAAAACACGGATCAGAGTTGTTAACATAACTCAACCCAAAAAGAAATAGCATGGATTGAATATAATATTAACATGCAATCACTAAAACCGATTTAAATATCCATCAATCCAATCACATGATTGAAATTATGATCTCATAGAAAATCATTAAGAACTTATAACTTGGATGCATACTTAGAGGCTATATTCAAAAATTATGAAAACTAGGGACTTAACCATAATTTTTAAAACTATGAGAATTGTTAACTTATACATACATACCACAAAACCAATACACAACCATATTTTAATCATTATTATCAGATATAATAGTTTCATAGCGTTATCTTCTTGAAGGATAAAATTGAAACTTTTTAAAGACTTAGGGACTTAATCCGAAATAAACAAAATTTGATCTTAAAAAAACATGGTATTCTTAAACAAAAAGTATTAGTAATCCATTATTAACCCTAAACAATAATTAGGAATCAATTATTAATATTTCAAAAGTTTTGGGGACTAAATTGGTAGTTTTAAAGAGGTTAAAGATTTATCTTTAAAACATATTAAACTTCATATTTCATTTAACACATAATTTGTATACTCAAAAATCTTATTCCAATACAAAAATTAAATTGTAATTGAAAATCTGGTTTCAATTTGAAAAATTAGGTTACAACCTAAAATCTGGTTTCCATATGAAAAATCAGGGTGCAACCTATAAACTGGTTTCCAAACTAATTTTTTGCTTTTCCAATAAACTTACATCGGTTAAAAAAAACTTAATTACTCAACAATTTGTATTTATCAACCAACATACAATAAAGTACATGCTTCCTCATAATAATAATTTCATGCCAACATGATTATGTCAACTACCTTGTATTTTACATATAAATCATCATACAACATAATCATTTCATAACCACTAACAATATTATATTATCTATCATAGGAGATATTCAAACCAATCAACACATCAAACATATTACCATGATCATAATCATCAAGAGTAATTTCCAACTTAACATATCAAATCTTAACATGCTTATAATCTTTCATGCAACTTATCAAAGGCATATATTTATGCGATATGAAATAGTTACACATACTTGATGGCTTCATAGAATGCTTGTAAGGACTCATTCTTTAATAACAAGCTCTTGCGGGACTCCAACGTAACTGATACACACATATACACCAAAGTAATACTTTCAAAACTTGAACTAATTAATATACAACCTTAGCTACTTATTAATTACACAAAAAGACATATGTCACCGTATAGGAGTTTAAACACAAAGAAATTATATTTTTTACTTTCTAAGTGACTTGCAATATCCTAAATACAACCAGCGCGCTATCGAACTAATTTCCTGAAATGTTGAAACAAAGAGAATGTAAGCTTATATGGCTTAATGAGGTGGTTGACATAATATAAATAAAATGAACAATACATATTAAGTTGTCCTTAATATGCTTGAATGGTAATTGAAACAATGAACATATCATAATACATAAATTTCATGGCAAGTACAAATAGCATAACTTATCATACATGCCCTTCATGGCAATAACTTGTATCATATCATGAACTTCCATGACAGGAACTGATATAATATACCTGGAGACAGCATAAGTTACTAACATCCTAAGTACAAGTCATACATGAACTTTATTTTCATAGAATCATAATCATATTTAACCATTAACTTGGTCGTTTAACTTTCGCATCAAGATTTATAATATATAAGTCATTACTTAGCCCATTGGAATCTAAATAGGTATGGATACACGAATCCCCAACAAAAATGTTACCAATAACCAAGAATAGTCACCATTCAACATCGCCAATGACCCACAACTTCCCTCCAACACCGCCAAATAAGGTTCCTAATCCATGGATTGTAATCCAAACCCTAACATGAGCTCAAATGGACTCTATGGCATGCAAACTATGTCCAAAAAAACTTATTATCCAAGGGCAATACTTAATATATCCTTTTCACATGATTTCGTAGCTTTATGCACCAAGTGGGTCATAGCTCTGTATCATTCATATTGTTTCTTACCTTAGATCACCAAGCGAGCAATAGCTCCTTATCAGTCATAACATGTTTTGATTCGTATT